AGTAATAGCCAATCTTTCATCCAGCAGAAAGCCGCAGCTTCATAATATAACCTTAAATCTGGCAGGGCAAACCCCCCTCTTTCTTTTGCATCAGTTAGTATTTTAAATTTTATTCGGGGCTTTTTGCCCTGCCAGACAAACTTAGAAATATCCTTCTGCCACTTTCCAAAACATTCCACTCTGTCCACGATCTGTAGGGTCTGAAACAAAAATAACATCTTCGGCAATACATTCATTTTTATAGCTGCAATTCTTCCCAACAAGGAAAGTTTCAATCTTGACCAAGTCTCTAAATCTTTTTTAATTTCTGACCAACATTTTTCATAGTTGTCTTTAAATAAATTCAAATTTTTAGCAGACAAATTTACCCCTAGGTATTTCACCTTTTTAACCACATTTAATTCTGTCTCTTTCTGAAACCTCTCTATTTCCAGGGGTATCAAATTTTTCTCCAAAACCTTAGTTTTCTGCTTGTTCAATTTAAACCCCGCCACCCGACCAAATTCATGGATTAATTCTAACACTCTCTTCGTACTAGATTCTGGCTCCTGTAATGTTAAAACCAAATCATCTGCAAAGGCCTTCAGTTTAAATTGTTTCACTCTGACCTGTATTCCTTGTACCAACCGGTCTTCCCTAATCATGTTCAAAAGCACCTCCAGGACAGAAATAAATAACAGAGGGGATAAAGGGCAACCTTGTCGTGTTCCTTTTTCAATTTTAAACTCTTCTGTCACCACATTATTAACTATCAATTTAGCTTTCTGCTCTGAGTAAATTGCCTGTATTCCATTTTCAAACCCCCGTCCCGCTCCCATCCCTTCCAAGTTTTTCTTCATGAACTTCCAAGAAATGTTGTCGAAGGCCTTCTCCGCATCAATGAAAATTAACACTGCTTTTGTATTGATATTAGTTTGCAGAAGTTCCAAAATGTCAATAATATTCCTAGTGTTATCAAACAAATGTCTTCCTGGGAGAAAGCCTGCCTGATCCTTGTGAATAACTTCATTTAGTACTTTTTTAAGTCTGCTTGCCAAAATGTCTGCAAAAATTTTGTAATCCACATTTAGAAGTGAGATGGGACGGTAGTTCTTGAGTTGAGTCTTTTCAGTTTCCACTTTAGGAATCAATGTGATGAAAGCTTCTTTCCACGATTCCGGTGCCTTTTCCCCTCCAAAATCTGGTTACATACCCCCATTAGTGGTTGTGTCAAAAAGTCTTTCAGTATCTTATAATACTTGGAGGTAAGCCCATCTGGGCCTGGAGATTTGCCTAGTTGCATGTTCTGAATAGCACCCTCAATTTCTTGTTGTGTTATTTTGTGATTCAGGATTGCTCTCTTTTCCTGGGCAAGTTTTGGTAATCCATTAATTTTCAAAAATTGGTCTATCTCAGTCTCTTCTTGCGGCCCTTGAGTATAAAGCTTTTTAAAATATCTCTGGAAGCACTTTCTGATTTCTTTAGGTTTCTGAATATCTCTCCCTTCAATCTCTAAGTTAGTAACTGTATTCAATTTTTGTCTCTTTTTCAACTGCCATGCTAGCAGTTTCCCGCACTTATTTGCTGATTCAAATGATCTTTGTTTCATTTGTTTAATTTTCCACTCAACTTCTTGATTTATCAATTTCGCATATTGTGCTTGGTGAAATTTAATTTCTCTCAAAATCTCCTTCGATTTTGGTTTTGATCTCAATTTTTTCTCTCCATCTCTTATCTTCTCTAGAATCTTATCTTTTTTCCCATTCCAGAATCTTTTCTTTATTGTATTCTGTTGTATCAGAAACCCCCTCATAACTGCTTTACTTGCGTCCCAGATTATTCTCCTTTCCACTGTGGTATTCAAATTTATTTCAAAATAATCTTTCAAGATTTTTTGGGCCTTCTTCACAATCTCCTGATCTCTTAGTAGGGTGTCATTCATTTTCCATCTAAAGGAGCCGATTGGAGTAAGTCTCAATTCCATTTTCATAGCGTTTTGAGGCAATCCAGAAGCATGCAAAACCCTTAATGGAAACTAAGGATTGTAGCTGCCAACACTGCACAAGTGGGTGACCTTGGACTAGTCACACTTCTTTGAAGTCTCTCAGCCCCACTCACCTCACAGAGTGTTTGTTGTGTGGGAGGAAGGGAAAAGCGAATGTTAGCCACTTTGAGGGTAGTGATAAAGCGGGATATCAAATCCAAACTCTTCTTCTCTTCATCTTCTAGAGCAGAGCTTGGGAGCAGGAATGGAGAGGAAGGGCCCTCTGTGTGAATGGAACACCCAGCAGCTGCTTGTGGAGGAGCAGAGACGCGAACTCGGTTCACCAGATTACGAGTCTACCGCTCTTAACCACTACACCACACTGGCTCTCTAGAGGGTTGCCAGTGCTCTGGAGCAATTGTGAGGTTGCATAGTATGCTAGAGAGAGCTGGGAAGTTTTGCAAGCAGAAGTCCGTTGTGTGAATTGAAAGGCCGTGTTGGATACACTCCTAAATTACTTGGTAGCATCCGATTAGTGGCCAGAATGAATGCAATTCAGATCTGTAAAATCATCCCAAGCTTTGCACTTCAAAGGCATCCCATTAAACTGTGTTCCATTGCTAGAGGAAGTCCGATATGTGGCCATGAGGGGGCCTTTTCCGTGGCCGTGTCCCATTTATGGAATGGCTTCCAGCAAAGGGGTACAATTGGCACCAACACTGCAATAATTTGAGTGCCAGCCAGGCTAAAACTTATTTGCCATGGGCATTATAAGATTTTGAGTTGACACCCATTCTGTCTGTTCCACTCATTTTGACCTATACCTGTTTGCTCTACGGCTGATGATAATGGTGGTGGTGGTGTTAATTTATTGTTTCAGCAGGATTATTGTTTATCTCATGCTTTTCATACCAATCTGATTATCTGTAGCAATCAGATGTGGGAAAGCTTAGATGCCAAATGTGGCCTTCCAGACCTTCTCTCTGGCCCTTGGGACGCTCCCCAAGCCACGCTCTGGTACCTAAAGGCAACAACAGAACATGTAAATGGTTCCCAAGCTGTTTAGGGCTTTATATATCAAGAGTGGCAGCATGAATTTGGTCTAATAGTAAATAGGCAACCAGTGCCTATTTATGCTGAAAGGGTCCCACTCCAGTCAGCAACCGTGATGCAGCATTCTGTGCTAAGTGTAGCCTCCAGGTTAGACACCAGGGAAGCCTCAAATAGAATTCATTTGCTCTTGCATGACAAGGTTCATCCTTGCAACTAGGGTTGGGTGGTATCTGGTTTTCAGTATCACAATACAGTATACCATCAGCTAAACATCAATATATCACGATATCTGAAATAAGTAAGGAACTACACAGAGGCGAACAGGACAATGTCCTGGCAACTGCTACTACTTAAGGTGTTATGTACTGAAGTTCTCACCCTGGGCCAGCAGGGGGATACTGTAGATAGTTATGCAAATGAAGGATCAAAAGTGCCTGACGTGAACTGCGGTCCGTTGTCAGAGACAAGAACATCAGGACACCCATGCGTCGCAAAGAGGCCTTGCAGCACCCAGATGACGGCCTCGGTAGTGGGGGAGGGCATCAGGGCCACCTCCAGCCATTTGGAATAGGCATCCACCACTACTATAAAAGTCCGGCCGGGAAAGGGGCCAGCTAGATTGATGTGCACCCTCGACCATGGTGTCTTGGGCATCTCCCAGGTGTGTCCCTTAGCTGCCGGTGGTGCAGGCCTTGATTCCTGGCATGCTTGACAGGCGGAAACCTACACCATAGGGCAGGACCTAAACCAATGGATTCAAATTACAAGAAGGGAGATTCTGACTAAACATTAGGAAGAACTTTCTTAAGGTAAGAGCAGTTTCCTCAGATGGTGGTGGACTCTCCTCACTGGAGATTTTCAAGCAGTAGCTGGATAGCTGTCTGTCAGGGGGCATTTAGCTGTGGTTCCTGCATTGCGGGGCGTGGACTAGATTACCATTGGGGTCTCTTCCAACTCAACTATTCTATGATTCTATCACTCTGCTAGCACCCTTTTTAGTGCTCTCAGATTTTTCAGTGCTGGTTGTTATTTGAAAAGTTGTTTGTTCACTGTAAACTATTCCTCATTCTTGGTGACTGATATTGGACCCAGAAACATTACATTCTCTATGAAGTTGCAGCTTGAGATACCATAGATAAATTTGGCTTGATGGTTCCTGAGATTGAGCAAGTTCCTGTCTATATTTGCATGTATTGGATGCCATTTTGAATCAAGATGGCAGACAGGAGGTTTCAAAACGGCACTGATTTTAACCTAGCCCTGACTCCTGCTCCACACAGGAGATATCAGATACCCGGGCGCGTGTCATTTGTTGGATCAACATTTTAGCTTCCTCCAACATGTACTGAACCTGCTGTGCCTTTGACTTTTTTCTTGCTTATGTACTGTACTGATTTGGCTGTGCGTGTTTTTTGTTGTTGCAGAAACTGTAATCCTGTAGCTGTTATCCAGCTTGGAGTTCTTCATCCAGTAGGAGCCAGGAGTGCTCTGAGTTTACCCACTGATTTAAAAACCACACTGACTTTTGTCCCCCCCCCCCCCATTCCTGAGCAATGCTGGTTACAAGGCTGCCAGTTATTTGCCTACAGTACAAATAGGAACCCTCCTCCAGAATACTCCATTCAGACACACAACATTTTGTAGTCACTGAGCATACTCAGTTTTTGTGTGGCTGTTTAGGTTTCAATCTCTGTAGATTTTCTGTAGTTCTGAAGAGGTACAAACGATTTGCTTGGAACTGCACAGAACAACACAGGCAAAAACAAACAAACCAGTATCTGCCCTGAGGAGCTTACAATCTAAATTTCAACAATCTAAATGTGTCCTCAGGAAAGACAAAAGTGGGGAGAGACAAGTGAAAAGTGTTGGTGAACAGGTTATGCTTGCAAGAAAAAGGTAGTTGAGAGAGCAGGTTCTGACCCCATTTATATTTCTGGGCCATTTTCTGCTGTGCACTGAATCTGCATCTAAAATAGCAGCTTACCTCCTTCTCTGTTTATTTGGCTGGCATAGCAGTCTCTGCTTCACGGAGAAACCAGAGCTCACAACACCATCCTTCACAAAAAAGGTGAATTGTTTTAGCACTGGGGAAGAAAGGGATAAAGAAATGTACAAATGAATGGCTCCTGAATATGAAAGTCAGTTTGCTGGAATTTTTTGAAAATCTTCACTTCAAACCAAACATTTTAAACAGTCACTGGCTGTCTATTATCTATTTCTAAAAGTACTACAAGAACAGCAACAGCAGCCAAGTTTGATTATTTATTATTTACATGCTGCCCACCTGACTGGGTTGCCCCAGTCTCTTTGGGCAGTTCCCAACAAGTGAAAAACATTAAATACAGTAAAACATCAAACATTAAAGACTTCCCTATATAGGGCTGCCTTCAGATGTCTTCTAAAAGTCTGATGGGAGGGTGTTTCACAGGGCATGGGTCCAGTGAAGGCCCTCTACCTCGTTCCCTGCAACCTCACTTCTGACAAGGAGTTAACCACCAGAAGGCACTTGGAGCTGAATCTCCGTGTCCAGGAGGAACGATGTGGGTGGAGACGCTCCTTCAGGTATACAGGGCCAAAGCCATTTAGAGCTTTAAAAGTCAGCACCAACACTTTGAATTGTGATTGAAAACGTACTGGGAGCCAATGTAGATCTTTCAGGACTGGTGTTATATGGCCCTGGAAGTCGCTTTCAGTCACCAGCTGGCAGCTGCATTCTAGAGTAATTGTAGTTTCAAGTCACCTTCAAAGGTAGCCCCACATAGAACGCATTGCAGTAGTTCAAGCGGGAGATAACACAGCACTCTGGTTAGATAGTGCGCAAGCAGGTGGGGTCTCAGCCGGCATACCAGAAGGAGATGGTAGACAGCTGCCCTGGACACAGATCTGCACCTCCATGGACAGCTGTGTTTCCAAAATGGCTCCCAGGCTGCACACCTGGTCCTTCAGGGGCACAGTTCCCCCATTCGGGACCAGGGAGCCCCCCCTGTGTCCCCCCTAGCCCCCCAAATGGTACTTCTGTCTTGTCAGGATTCAACCTCAATCCATTGACCGCCATCCACTCCCCAACTGCCATCATATCGTAAAATATCAGGGCAGGGCAATATAAAAACAATTTTAAAAATCCATTTCTAAAAAGTACTGTACAGAAGAATCATTAAAATGCCTGGCTACCCAATAAAATTTTACAGAGCTACAAAGGCCTGCTGTCATTTAAAAACAGTCCTAAAGAGAAGCCTAAAAGTCAAAAGCGAGGGTGCCTGTTGTATCTCTGCTGGATGTGTGCTTCACAGCATGGTACTGGTGACTCTAAATGCCCAATTTCTGGCTGAGGCCATCTTTGTAACATGAGGGATAACAAATAGTATTGCTCCAAATGATCTCAGTGATCAGGCTTGGATATAAGGGCTCAGGTTATCCTTAAAGTATCCTGGGATCAAATTGTTCATGGCTTTGTACTTTAACTTAAGGGCCTTGAACCTGACCTAGTAGCATTCTGGCAGCCAGGGCAGATGTTTTAATTAATTATTTAATTATTACTATTACTATTATTATTATTAATAAAGGAATTGCCTTCTACACATGTGACTCAAGGCAATTTACAAAGTCCAGTAAAAATAGATGAAAGACAACAGAAAATAACAGACCTTTAAAAAATAAAAATACAAAATAGACCCTTGTGGCAGCCGCCTATTCATCCAGCTGGGGAAACCTGTCATATCAAAAATGTTTTAAATTGTTTGCAGAAAGTGCAGATAAGTAGGTGCCTGTCAAATCTCGAGGGGAATGCTGCTCCATAGAAGAGGGGCAGCCACACTATAAGCTCTACTCTGAGTTACTGTGCAGAGGGTTTCTGATGGCTTTGGTTTGACATTGTTGTTTCATTGTTGTTCTCCACCCTGTAATCTTTGGATTAAGGGCAGAACACATTTCAAATAAATAAATGTTGTTTGACACCCACTGTGCACCCCTATCTAGGCTACACCCAGGTTAAGGTGCTCCTGTTGACCCTCCACTCCAAGGTTACTTCTGACCTCCAAAAAGACGATGAGGCCTTTTAAAAGGAATCCATCTAAAATGCAATGGGTAGCTAGGCTGAACAATGATGTTCATGCACTGAATGCTGGGAATTGTAGCTCGTGCAAAATGTGGCGGCTCAACTGCTCAATGGGGCAGAATATCGCCATCATATCACACCGCTGGTGAAATCATTTCCCTGGCTGTCAATTAGGTACCAGAGTAACCAGACTAAGTTCAAGGTGGTGCCAGTGGTGGTATACAAAGCCCCATACAGTTTGGGACTAAGATACCTGAAATATTAGCATCTCCCTTTTTTTTTTTTTTTGAATAAAATATTGTGGGGGCCTAGGTAAGCCCGGTCCTGCATAACCAATCACATGACACGATGCACACACACCATTTGAATGCCAATGCTCATCAACTTTGGGCATTGTCATTCTAATACAGTGGTACCTCGGGTTAAGTACTTAATTCGTTCCGGAGGTCCGTACTTAACCTGAAACTGTTCTTAACCTGAACCACCACTTTAGCTAATGGGGCCTCCTGCTGCCGCCACACCACCGGAGCATGGTTTCTGTTCTCATCCTGAAGCAAAGTTCTTAACCTGAAGCACTATTTCTGGGTTAGAGGAGTCTGTAACCTGAAGCGTATGTAACCCGAGGTACCACTGTATTTGATTGGGGGGGAGCCCCCACGGCCCCTAGGAGTTGGCTCCTACTTTAGCTCCTAACTGATCACTGCACTCTTCAGGAGAAGAGGGCCTCCAGCAGACACCACCTCATTTGTTTTACTTTAAGCACCTGCCAAAGACTCTCCTCTTCCAGAAAGCTTATAAGTAGAGTTGTTTTAAATCCGCAGCCAGTATTTGTATTGGATGTGAAACTGTTTTTATATATGCAGTTTTTAAATATATGTTTTATAGTATTGTGGAATTGCTTCGAGATGCTTCACAAATGATCAATTAATAATAAATCTGAACACACACCATTTGGACACTACAATTCTATGAACTGTGATTCATACGGCTCCACTGCCCAATCTGCACCTGTTTAAGTACAAGACCCCACCAGGGAGCTTTCCCCTTTCCAAGCCAGCAGAAGGCTTTCCCAATTGCCCTTTGCTGGAAGCCTTTCTCTGTTGATGGTACGGTCAAGGCTGTTAGTGAGAAAGGTGTTAGCAGCTAAAGATGGCTCAGGAGCATGGCTGGCTGTGTGCTGGGACTAGCAAAGAGACTAAAAAAGATGAAAGGGTAGGGGGGTAGGGTGGGAGAACATTCAACTAAATTAAATAAAAGACAGCCTTCACTGATCTGGGCACTGAGGATCCATATGAGGGCTTGTGTTATTCTATCACAAACAAGCTTGAAAGCCTCTCTATCACCTCACTCACTTGCCAGAGGTGGAGAGCCTGCCAATCACCTTGGTGCTCCAGTAGATGGCATCGTTGCTCCTACTGTACAGCTGTGGAGCTGTACTCCCTCTAATCTGCATCATTGCAGCCTACTCTCAGGTAATACCACAGTCAGTATGACGGAGTGATTAGAGTGCTGGACTGAGACTGGGAGACTCTAGTTCAAATCCCCACACAGCCTAACTGGGTGACTTGGCCTAACCTACCCCATAAGGTTGTTGTCAGGATAGAATTGTGGTAGCACTGAAGGACCATTGCAATGCTGCCTTGAGCTCTTTGGAGAATGGGGTCTGAATGCAATAAAGAAATATGTCACACTGGGCTCAGTGGTGTTTATTCTCAGGTTAGTGTGCACAGTAATGAAACCTTAGGGCCAAATTGTCATATCATTTCCCCTGGCCTGCTTGATTTTAAAAAAAATAAATAAATAGCCAGTGGCATTGGAAGGAGAGGGGAGCAAGATTTGCACTGCAGCATGTGGGGAGTGGTCATTAACTCTGTCCTCACCATCCCAGTCCGAATCCTGCCTCCTCTTCCCAAGTGCCAGCTCTTTGCAATGCAAGAAAAGCTTCCATTGGCACAGCACGGGAGTTTTTCTCCCAGTGAATAGCAGGCAATTAGATCAGGATCATAGTCTTATTTAAAGATGAATGGGAACTCTTTACAAAGTATTTGAAGACGCAACAAAACGAATTGGACTCCTTGGCTGGCTTTGAATAAACATTCATAAACTTTTTATTGATAATAATCAGCTAAATAGTTTGAGGATCTACACAACTGTGTAACATGCAGAAAACAGCATTCTTAGAGAAATCAAAGACTGGAACTGAGGGAAGCCGGGGTGTGTGTGGGGGGAGGAAAAATGGGGGGGAATAAGGATGATATGGTTCTGGATAATATGTTTGTTTTAATTTTGAATTTAAAAAGTTTTTTTAAAAAAAGGATCATAGTCTTACACGTGACAGAACTTATGGCAGTTTCCAACCTCTCTTTGCCTAAGACTGTCGTTCAGTGTGCAATGATTTGGGAGTTAGCACCATCGAATTCAATGGCTGACCTCTGAGTCAACATGGACAAGACTGTACTGTGTAGCTGCAATACAATATGCACTTAGTCAGCAGTAACCACAGTGAGGCTTACTCCTAAGAGCCTTGTAGGATTTAGATCCAAAGTTTTACCCAGTCCAGAATCCTGCAGTTGCCAAACAGATGCTGCTGGGAAGCCAAAAAAGCAGAGCGCAGTAATTTTGTCCCACTGTTGTTCCAAAGCAACTGGTAGTCAGAGGCACTCTGCCCCCGCCCCCAAATCTGGAGTGGGGGAGGGGGCAATAAAATCAACCTTACCTGATAGCTGAGGTGGGAATCCAGGCCATCATGGGGGGGGGAGGGGTTACTCTGAAACATGCTGGGCAGGTTTAGAGCCCGGGGGACCCCAGAGGGCAGCGCCTGCTGCCCTTTCCTCACTAGGGGTGGCAGGGGACCACCAGCGCCCCCTGTTTGCAGAGAGACTGCTCTAGAGGCAGCAAAGGAGGTGGCGGATCCAGTCTCCAAGGGGCTCCAAGGTTTCTGCCACAGCAGCAGCAGCAGCAGCGGGTGATGCATTCCTTGGAGGCCAGATCCGCTGCCCCTGCGGATCCTGCACCCAAGGGAGCCGCCTCGCTTTGCCCTGCCAGCAAGCTCACCTTCTTAATTCAGCCGCTGGGTCTTCCTAAATTTCCTTTAGGCTGATCCCAGCAGTTGGGATTCCGAGGAAACATCAGAACCAGGAGTCCCCAGTCAGAGACGAGCGCTCTGTCCCACCGCACCACTTTTCGGAATTTATTTTAAATTCAGAAGAAAGCGAAGCCACCCGGTCAGGATGATCGGTCCCTATATGGACCGGCCCCGTGCACAGCTGTCAACGTTTCCCTTTTTTAAAGGGAAATTCCCTTATTCCGAATAGGATTCCTCGCAAGAAAAGGGAAAGGTTGACAGCTATGGCCCCGTGGGACGCCTTTTGCGTCCTTTCTCCGCGCAGTGGAGAGGATCGCAAGCGGCGAGCGCGCCCCCCGCCACACCCACTGCCCACCCCGCGCCCCCAGCGCAGCGGAGCCACGAGCGGGCGCGGCAGGAGCGCCACCCAATGCGCGCGCCTCCTTCCCCCGCAGGCCCCGCCCCCGCTGCCCCTCCCTCGCCTCCGCCGGTGACGTCACGCTCGGCTCCGCCGGCGCCATTTTGAAAGTGGAACCCGAGCGGGGGGAGGGGCTGGGCCAGGAGAGGAAGCCGGGCGCGGGGGAAGCCCTGGGAGCCAAGCCGCCTTGCCCGCTCCCGCCCCCGGACGCCATCCGCCGCCATCCTCCCTCCGCGCTCCGCTTCAGCCCGGGACGGGGATAGCACCGGGAAGCTGAGAGGCCGCTTCAGCCCGGCCGGCCACCATTGGGAGCCCAACATGGCAGGTAAGGGCACGGCAGCCCCTCGCGCTTCCCGGGGACGGGCGCCTCGCAAGCCCAGGGGCGGCCGAGGCAGGTGAGGGAGCTGGAGCGGCCTCGCCTCTGGCGGAGCTTGCAGGCTGACCTGGGGGAAGGCGCTGGGCTGCTTCCTCTTCCTCACTCCCCTCGTCCTTTGCAATGCATTTCCCTCTGCAAATCTGCTCCGCTTCTCCATTATTATTATTATTATTGCATCCTCATTTTCCTTGCTGTCCTCCGCCAGTAGCTCAAGCGCCGAAGCACGAATGCCTGCTCTTGGTCTTCGTTCCCCTGCTCTTCTCCTCGCCTTCCCTCCTTCGACCATGCACCTTCGTCCCTTTATCCTTTTATTTCTAACAAGAGAGAAAGTCTCCCTTCCTTGCGAAGTTGGGGGAGAAATCTCCAAGGATGGGCGTGCAGGGAGGGATTTTCTTCTTCCCCCAGGCAGAGGTGGGGGTGATGCCGAGGGTCTCATCCATTGCTTTCTGCTCTCCCTTTCCTAAGTGTGTGTTTCTGCAAGCTTTGGCGTCGAGGCATTTGCAGCCTTGCTTATGTCTCAAATGATGGGCTTGGTGCGAGTGGAGGTGCAGCTTGGCAATAATCTGCGTGCAAAACGAGGGATATAGCAGCCCTGGGGTGTTGGGTCTGGCAGGCAGATAGAGAAGTCGGGGCTTCCTCCATGTGGGGCGGTGCGAGGCGTGTTCTCTCTGATGCCCATGTTGCAGCGTGCTGGAGCTTGCACCGTGTAAGGGCTGCAAATCCGTCTCATCGCACAGGGTATGTGCTGCTGTCCCACTTGTGTCCCTTTTTCTGGAATCCGTTCACCCACATCCCACACATTTAATTGCTTTGTGTTGGGAAGAGTCGCATGGGCGGCTGTATTTAGATTTGTGCCTTGCAGTCTCGCAACACAAGCCACACGCTTCCGTTTTGCCCTTCTTTTTTCATCAATGGGAGGAAAGCCATGAATGTAGCAGATTATAAATGTGATGTTGGGGAATGATGCACCAGTTTCCCCCCCGGATAAAAGTGGAGTTTTCTGTCCTTTCATGAAAAGCCCTCGCCCCACCCAAATATCTATAGCCAGGAAAGAGTAAACTGGGGGCGAGCACCGGATGTGGGCCTTAGGGTAGGGGTCGCCAACGTGCTTCTTTCCAGGTGGCGTCTGATTCCATCAGCCCCTCAGCGTGGCTCATGGTCAGGGCTGATGGGAGTTGGAGTCCTGCAGGATCCGGAGGCGGCTGCTGGCTCCCCCTGCCTTAGGAGCTCTTGCAGATAGATGCACTTTTAAAATACATCTATATAACATGTAGCTAAGCATCCTCTCACATTTCCAGGGTGCCTAAATATGGTAGAATGTGTCAGCACAAAGTAACAAAGAATGGTGGGAATAGAATATTTGTAGATTGTTTCCATTTTCCTGTGCTCTGATTGTTGTTTATGCTTCTGGCACGCTCATTCTTCTCCCGACTTGAACTTTTTTCTTAAAGTTGCTCAGCCTTGTGTGGAGAGGGAAACCCGCCCTCGGTTCCCCCTTGCCAAGAGGCAACTGTTGCACAGCTCTTCCAGAGAGACGACTTCTTGTTTGGGGGAACATGTCTTAGGGAAAGCTCCATTTTGACATCTTTCAGGACTTGAGGACGGCTCGCTCTTTCTTCATTCTCTCTCTTCCTGTATGAACCCAGCCCAAATGACTTGGTCTAAATGACATGCAGAAGAAATGGGTGGTGTCTTTTCTACATGTTTTGGTGGCAAGGTTCAAATGATTCACCGTCTTCCGCTGAGGCAGTAATGTTCCTGAAATTTTCTCTCCGGTCCATCTTTTACGGTAGTTTAAAGCTTATTCATAACAAAACAAAGCTCCTCAAACCCAACCTATGGAGGTTTGAGGGCTGGAGGGCCTCCTGTTTTTCTTTTAAATAAATACTTTGAATGTTAACATACTTCTCTATGTGCATAAAAGACTCTGTGTTAATTCTTTAGAGCCTTTTACTCGGAGGGTGAAGCATGGTTCCTAAAATAAGTACATGGGCTTGTTTTAAGTGATAAATTACATGATTTCATTCTAGATCCTAGCAGCTTAATTGCAGTGTAGGAAAAATGAATGCAGAAAGTTAATTTATTTGGTAAGAAGAGTAAAGTGTTTTGCTTCCTGCGTGAAATTCTAGCAGACATCAGTGGCATGCTTGTATTCAAAACTTGTATGGTTTCTGGATTTACTAGTTACATGGTTCTGAGAGATGTCAACAGTTTGTAGAGAAACTTATGTTTACTCTGTGCTTGATTTTTGAAATCTGGACTGATCCTCATCGACAAAAGTGTGTCTCTGTGTGTGGATGTGGGGTGGTGAAAGTGGAACAGTTTGATTGGGTTCCTAGGTTCTTCCATCTGCTTTGAAAATACTTGATTTCTGTGCTGTCTTCTCAGCACCATTGACTCCCCATGCCAGCAATCCCTGTTTACTAGAGTGGAATGCTGGCAGAGTTTAATGGGCAGGGTGTGGATTACTTTTGTTTAACTTTTGTTTTGTTTCTAGGAGCCGGAGGTGGCGGGAATGACATTCAGTGGTGTTTTTCTCAGGTGAAAGGGGCTGTGGATGACGATGTAGCTGAAGGTAAGAGCAATTAACCCTTGATTTTTTTTTTTTAATTTCAAACCTTCATAACTCACAAATGGGATGAGATAAATAATTAAAATTTTAGATTTAAACATTGTTTTGATCATTCAACAAGTGTACAAAATATTAACAAAACTGGATGACATGAGGTAAAAAAAGTTGGATCACTTGATATGGAATGACCCTTCTCCAAGTATTGGTTCACCTCTATAATGCAACATTAAAGCACCATTAAACTTTGTTCACATACACCACGTAATGTACCTTTCTCATCCGGTGCTATACTGTATGTTCTGTCCTACCAATCAGCACTATGGATACTTAGTTATCCAGTATTTTGGTTAGCCTGTATCACAGTGGCGTTGGAAATTCATGTGTGAAGTTTTCTGTCTGGGCTAACTGTAGTTATTGGAATCCAAAACCTGAAGGGCTGGCATAATTTTCTGCATGCTTGATTTTGCTGAGGTTATAGTACAGCATTAGGAATTCCCATTAGTTCTGAAGTATTCAAATGGAAAACGTGATAGAAGGTACCATGCAAGTATTATACTTCATAGGCAGGCCTGCGCGATGTATTGATGTATCGCCCAGGACAAGTATGAGGGGCAGACTGGGATGGCGGCTTCACTCGGTGATATATTGTGAGTGACACCGTCATCGCTCCTGAGTCCCTCTGCTACCAGTGCCCAGCGCACCCAGGGAGAAAAAAGCCGCAGCTGACAGTGGAGGCAGAGGGATTCAGGAACAGCAGAGATTTCACCAGTGATTTACCACTCTGCCCTCATAACCGTTGCAGAGGGAGAAACAAGTTGCATTGGCAAGGTGCGATACAGCTTGTTCTCCCCTCCGCTTCTTTAAACTGCTTGGCTGAGGAGCCTGACAGGCCACTGCAGCTTTACAGAGCCCCCGGCCCGCCACCTGCTTGCACGAGGCAGCGGTGGGGTCGGGGCTCCATTAAAGTGCTCCCGCTCCCCGGCTGAGGGAGCCCCGATTCTTCTCCTCCATGCATGCAAGCAGGAGAAGGATCAGGGCTGCTCAGCTGGGGAGCAGGAGGCTTTGCCTCCTGCTCGAATGGAGCCCCCACCTGGACTCCGGCTTGCGTAAGCCAGAGAAAAGGCAATTATTTAAAAAAACCATTAAACATGAATAAAATTAAAACTATATATACACATGCACACATATAAAACTTGTTTAAAACATACAAATAATTACAGTAAAAATAGCTTGGCACCAGCCCTTTCATTAAAAGCAGTCAGTTCCCAAAAGTCTGTCGGAACAAGGAGGTTTTCACCTGTTGGCGGAAGGACAACAAGGAGGGAGCCAGTCTAGCTTCTCCAGGGATCCCTCCAGAGTTCCAGAGTCTGGGAGCAGCCACCATTAGTATACAAGATATTAATCAGAGCATCATGCAAATTTGACATTTAGCAAATGTCACCACGGAGTCCGATCCATTGCATAGTTCTGCCACTTGAGAAGGCAGTCTTATAGCATTGAGGAGGACTTATTCCCAAGCAAGCATGCGTGCCAAGGTTTGCAGTCTTAACCTGAAATAATCTAGTTTCATTTTTCCTGAGGCTGGGACCATAGCTCTCTGATAGAGCACTGTGTTTGTGTGCAGGAGGTCCCAGGTTCAGTTCTTGTCATCTCCAGTTAAAAAGCATTACAGGTAGTCGGGATGGGGAAAGCCCCTTGGCCTGGAGCCTTGGAGAACTGCGGCAGTCTGGGTAGGCCAGTGATGGGGAACTGGATCTTACCCACCTTCCATAGGTCGAGATTGGCAGGTGGGTGGGGCCACTCACTTATCAGTCACGTAACATTGCACGGCCGAGGAAATGCCAACAAGCAGCTGGCTTTGAGTCTTGTGAAGCCCTTAACCATAGCACTTTGTAGATGCCACCAATCAGCTGATCAGTGGTGTCCACAAACTTCACTCTGGGCTTGGGCCATGTTGGCCACAATGGCCTCACAGGCCAAATCGGGAGGCCTGGCAAGACTGCTCTGGCCCACAGGCAGGAGGTTCCCTACCCCTGGGTTAGACAAATTACAGCTTACTTTGTCTTCTTCTTGGTAGCATAATTGGCGTATAGTACCAGGCTATCCAGGGACGCGGGTGGCGCTGTGGGTAAAAGCCTCAGCGCCTAGGGCTTGCCGATCGAAAGGTCGGCGGTTCGAATCCCCGCGGCGGGGTGCGCTCCTGTTGCTCGGTCCCAGCGCCTGCCAACCTAGCAGTTCGAAAGCACTCTCGGGTGCAAGTAGATAAATAGGGACCGCTTACTAGCGGGAAGGTAAACGGCGTTTCCGTGTGCGGCTCTGGCTCGCCAGAGCAGCGATGTCACGCTGGCCACGTGACCCGGAAGTGTCTCCGGACAGCGCTGGCCCCCGGCCTCTTGAGTGAGATGGGCGCACAACCCCAGAGTCTGGCAAGACTGGCCCGTACGGGCAGGGGTACCTTTACCTTTACCTTTTACCAGGCTATCCATCTAGCCTAGTATTGTCTGCTCAGACTGGCAGTGGCTCTCCTGGGTTTCAGAACAGAGGTCTTTCCCATCACTTGGTACCTGATTCTTTTTTAAAGAACAAAAACAGAGACATGCCAGGTGTGAAACCTGGAACCTTCTTCAGGCAAAGCAAGTTCTCTGCCACTGAAATACGGTCCTCTGCAAGCAGCACCTGCTTACTACATCTCGATTGTCATTCAAGGAACATCCTGGTTCTCCCCACCCCATGCCACTGCTGCCCCTCTGTGAGGCAGGTCAGACTGAGAGAGACAGTGACTGACCCATGGTCACCCATTGAGCTTCATAGTTGAGAAGGGCTTGAAGCCGAGTATCCCAGGTTCTAGTTTGACACTCGGTCTAATCACTACACCACACTGTATATTTATACATGCTATATGATCTTAAAATAATAAATTTCAGGAGCCACAAGACTCTTTATTTTTGCAGCAGCAGACTAAACACAGCTACCCTTCTGGGAGCCTTTATATATTATTTCCTCAGAGCAAACGAGACGCTGCATTGAGCTAAAAATTTGCATCCTTACTTCTGAAGGCAAGCTTTTAAAGTCCACTTCTGAAGCATAAGGATTCAGCAGTTTCTAAGGGGTGCTACTGTATCAGCTGTATACTGTATACTGTTGCCTAATGCGTAATGTAGCAACCTAGCAGAGTGGTTGTAAGAGGGGCTGGGAAAGTGCCATGTGCAGGCTCTCCACTGCAACCTTACCAGCCAAGGGTGAAAGTTGAGGCAGGGATTTTCCTTTGCACCACCAGCTCCTAGCTGGCATGGTGGAGGGAACCAAATTGGGCCCCTCTTCAAGGAGAGGACAGTAGGCTGGGACTATGTATTGATACATCACCCAGGACCGATATGAGGGACGGACCACAATGGTGGCTTCACTTGGTGGTACATTGAGAGTGAAACTGCCACCACTTTTGAGTTCCTCTGCTGCCACCAGTGCACCGAGGGAGAAGCAGGCTGCAGCTGGAGGCAGAGGGACTCAGATGTTAAAGGTAAAGGGACCCCTGACCATTAGGTCCAGTCATGACCGACTCTGGGGTTGCGGCGCTCATCTCGCTTTATTGGCCGAGGGAGCCAGCGTACAGCTACTGGGTCATGTGGCCAGCATGACTAAGCCGCTTCTGGCGAACCAGAGCAGCACATGGAAATGCCGTTTACCTTCCCGCTGGAGCGGTACCTATTTATCTACTTGCACTTTGACGTGCTTTCAAACTGCTAGGTTGGCAGGAGCAGGGACCGAGCAACGGGAGCTCACCCCGTCACGGGGATTCGAACCTCCGACCTTCTGATCGGCAAGTCCTAGGCTCTGTGGTTGAACCCACAGCACCACCCGTGTCCCTATACTCAGATGTTGCTGGCCTACAATTCCCACCATCCCTGGTTGCTGGCCATGGTGGCTGGAGCTAATAACATCCAGTAACATCTGGGGAGACAGGTTCCCCGTTCGCATTCTAGACAATTGCTTGATGGGTACAAGAGATTCAGTGTCCCAGTAAATGACTATCTACAGCCCTCCAATGGATTTAGCTGTATTGATCTCAGCTGTATTGGCTGTTTCAGAAGTAACGCTTGCAGGCTGTGAACAGCAGCTGGGATTGAGAGGCAGCTGCAGGAACATCTGCTTCATCATCTCCCTTCCCTCCCCCAACACCAACTGATAACCATGATTAAGGGAAATATTTTCCAGTAGGATCTGGAACCAACATTTGAGCATGGTTTCAAAAAGCTAAAAAACAGGTGCCGTGGTTAACATTAAGGCTAACCCTGTTGTTTTGCTTTACAGTGTGCATGATTCGGGAGGTGTTCCTAAAAGGCCTGGAAGGAGGGAGGCTACATTCTATGGAAAAAGAGAAATGGATAGCTGTATGCACAAGTCTAACCACTAGAGAGGGTTTAATTTTGCAGTCACGGGAAATGCCATGTTCAGATAAACACAGAATCTCCTGGTTCCAACACATTGCAGGAGCAGGAGGATTTGAACATGCTCTTGATCCCTCCCTTCCAAGAGGCCAGTAATGGCTCAATAATGGCCTTCAGGAAAAGGATTGTAGCTTAGTGGTAGAGCAGCTGCTTTGCAATCGGTGTTGACAATACTGAACTAGATGTGCCAGTAGTCTGACTGTATGTCTTCCTATAAATGCGTCTTTCTATGTTGGTGAATTTGAATGGTTAAAAGTGACCTTCTTACTCTGCATTATCATATCTCTAGAGAACAACACCCAAACCTGTTCCTAGTAGCAGGTTTATTTACACAATTTAAGGAAACATGTTGGCTTGCTTTACTATTAATCATGAGGCTGTCTAGCATGCAGATACTTTTCTTCTGTCTTGGTGGAGCATGCAGTAACATCAGAGTTGCACAGTTTTCTGAGAGGGGCTTCTGTTAATCCGTATGAGGCAAGACTGACAGATGGATAGATTCCTTGTTCAGGAGCATTTGGTACTAGATGCAGAATGATGATCTGGGAACTTCTTTCT